TCAAAACATTTTCTTTCTACGTGAGCCCTTGGTATCAGCTCCTCTTTTTTCCCCTCCCCCACCACCCTCCCACCCTCAGGAACCCCTGATAAATTATATAATATTATTATTTTCATATCTTACACCAGCCACTGTCTCCCTTCACCCCTGTTTCTGCAATTGGTCCCCCTCAGGGAGGGGTATACATCGATCATTGTGACCGGTTCCCCTTCTCCCTCTTCTCCCCCTACCTTCCCCTACCCTCATGGTATACCTACTCTCATTCTTGGTCCTGAGGAGTTTACCTGTTCTGGATTGTGCATGCTGGGAGCTCTTATCTGTACAGTGTACATGCTCTGGTCTAGCCAGAGTTGTAAGATAGAACTGGGGTCATGATAGTGGTAGGAAGAAGCATTAAAGAACTAGAGGAATGTTGTGTGTTTCGTCAGTGCTATACTGAACCCTGACTGACCTGTCCCTTCCTTGTGATCCTTCTGTGAAGGGACCCATTTTGTCTTCAGTGATCATGTCAGGAAGGTGAGCATCACAGAATGCCAGGTTATTAGAACAAAGTGTTCTTGCATTGAGGGAGGATTTGAATAGAGATCCAATGTCCATCTGCTACCTTAATACCCTATAAATATATGTGCCTAGACCTATATCCCTATCATTATATATGAATATATTTACATATGTACTACATGCCTATTTATACCTCTATAAATGTCTTGTGCCTCCTAGTTCTTTCCTGTGTTTCCTTTTACTTTCCTCCTGTCCCACTCTCATGTTTGACCTTTATTCAGCTCTCTGTACATCCTCTCGGCTGCACTGCACTTGATTGAACCCCACCTGGCATTCTATGCCCTCCTGGCCATCAATTTTAGATGTCTTGTTGTTCCCTGTCCCTGCGTTTGTTGGCTCCCCCTTCCTTTTAACCTTTTTAAAGAGGTCAAGTGCAGCACATTTTTCCAGTACAATACATTGTTTGATTTCTTCAGTATATTTATTGTGGATCTAGCATTATGTTCCCTCTTGGTCCGGTTGTGAGGACCTGGGCTTGCTTTTACATTGAGTTGAAATCTGTACTGAAGGTCGCAGTCTTTGAGTTTTACCAACAGGTGCTTCACACTCTCTCCGCTGTCAGCGAACAGGGCTGTGTCATCTGCACTTCCCACGCTACTAAGAAGCCTCCCTCCCATCCTGATGCCACGTTCTTCTTTATATAATTCAGCTTCTCTCCCCGACATATACCTTTCCTGATTTCACACCGTGCCATATGCCATTGTTTTGCTCAAACATCAGCCTCATAATCTGTGTGCAGGATCCACATGAGCACGATGCTCGCATATGTTTCCACTCTGTTCAGTCACGTCCCACTTCCTCCCCAAGGTGGTTCTGGGAACTCTGATTGGGACCATGAGTCTGCTCTGAGTCCTACTTTATCGATGAGGAAGTTTTAAACCTCAGACTTGGGCAAAGTAACTTGCCCAAGGTGACTGCTGCTGAGAGGTAGAGCCTTGATAGCCATTCCTGCTACACCAGCGAGCCTGACCCAAGACCATTATGATTTCTGTGCAGTAATTAAAGACAACTTCATGGGCTTGGGACTGATATTTAGTATCATTGTAACATGCAAATAGCAGTAGACCCTCACCATGGGCCACAGGGTGGGGTCCTCTGTGTTACCAGAACCCCTCTTATGCTAACAATGAGCAGCAGCTAGAAACGGAACCCAATGGACAGCAACAGGGTGTTGCTCTCACTTCAATCTGTTGTAGCCCATTCATACTCTGTACACCACAGCTGATGTGCCCATGGGAAACAGTCTCTTCCATCAGTTACAACTCTCCGCAGCCCCACTTACCGTGGACTTGGACATTTAGACAATGTGAAAGGATGACAGTGGATACTCTTCCATCCTCTGCCCTTCTCGAAAAAGCCCAGAACCAAGACAAATCAAATTATAACCATAGAAACATCAAATCAAGTGGATACTAAAAAAGTAAATAAATAAAAGACTCTGGTGATTCAGATTTCCAACTTTAGAAAGAAAATGCTGGACCCGTACATGCTTGCCACCCAGAAGATAGTGTATCCTTCCAGCTGTGCCAGGGGGCCACCCTGCGGGGACACGTGGGCCTGGGGTGGAGTTGCCACTTGCAGCCCCTTTCATCACATTGCGTAGTGCTTTTCGCTTGATCGAGTATTGTGGCCCGTAACAGGCTGTGCAGTAGAGAGGACATCGGTATGAATGCTCCCACGCCTGGCTCCGGCTTGCCATTTGACTTGGGTCAGACAGCTCGCTCCTGACAAGTTATGTACATCCAAGGGCATAGACTTTTTGTTAGCCCTAGGGTCCCTGGGAGACACCAGTGGTTGTCACTCAACTACTAACCAAAGGTTAACAGTTCCAATCCACCCAGCAGCATCACAGAAGCAAGACCAGGTGACCTAATTCTACATGATCACAACCACGGAAAGCCATCTGCAGTATGGCTCTGCTCTGCCACATCGAGGTGGCTGTGAGTCAGAATCAACCTGACAGCAGTAGGTTTGCAGCCCTCCAGGCAAACGATGCCGAATGACTCCGCATGCCCTTATATGCAGGGCATGAGCTGATGCAAGGATTTTCTACACCAATTCCTAGACCTCCTGTCCATGGGCAAGGTGGATCTGCAGCTACCAGGGTTTTTTTTATACAGTTTTATTGGCACTTAATCCACATATCACACAATTCAATAGTTCAATCACATCAAGAAGAGTTGTACAATCACCATGACAATCCATTTTAGAATGTTTCCTTCCCCCCTCCTTTCCCCACGATTATATCACATTTAAAATGAGTGATGTAATCACCATCAGTTCTAGAGAATTCTCCCTCCCCTCCTCCCACATAGATTGTTTGCTCCTCCACCCCCCTCTTACCCTCCCTAACTCCCACCCCCATCCCTGTCCCCCCTATAAACCCTTGCAACAGTTCTTATCTCTCTGCCTCTACTCCTTCCATGCTTTTCAAACTGGAAAATCCAACAGAAACAGTAAAAAGCAAACAAACAAGAATAAATAAAGTGGTAAGGATAAAATAATAATAATACAGAGATAAAAGTAAAAATCGCGGGTAGGAAAGAAAAGACCACTGTGAATATTTAAAAGGCCAGGGAAGGCATTTTGGTCCTGGAAGTAGTCACACCTAGAAGAATCTCGTGGGGCTCTGCCTGCGGCTTAATCAGGCCAGACACTCTGCAGATGGGTTTGGGGATCCCACCATAGCCTTCTACAAACTGGGTGCTCACAATTAGGATCTGATACGTTCTCTTTGTCACATTTGAATTTTGTCATTGTCATCTTTGGATCACACAAATGTGTGTTTCTTCCATGTGGCCTTAATTGACTCCTCGCTTAGATGGCTGCTTGTTTGAACACAAGCCTTGAAGACCCCAGACACTATTCTGTTTGATAGCTGGCCACCATCAGCTTTCTTCAACACATTTTGCTGTAGCATTCTTATCTTCAGTGATCATTTCATGAAGGTGAGCATGGAGCAGGGCCACAGCATCAGAACTAACTCTTCTTGGATTGGGGCTGGTGTTCCGTGGGGACCCCTAACCCATCTGCTTGTCCCAGGGATAGGCACGACTCAGGTTAATTTTGACAGTCATATTATGGTAAGTTCAAAACCCCTAAGAACAACTACCCCAACAACAGCAACAAACCAACTAGCAGAAAACAAGAGACAAACAAAATCAAGCAAATTAAAGGCAGGGAGACCCAAACCCCATTAAAACAGATAAGTAAATCATTGTCAATCTTCCTCTTGTGGTATACGGTGATTGCACTTGTAACATCATCACTTCCAGTGACACGTCACTCTAGATCTAGAGATGCTGTAGGTACGAAGAGTCTCTGCAAGTACAGTTTGACTGTGAGCCAAACCTATGAGCGGTTGCTCCACCCAGTTCCATCTCCCATTCGAGTGAGCTTGGTCTACCCTAAGCATGGAGGTTGGTATCAAGGGGAAACTACCTGGATCAGTTCTTCCAAGTTAACCCCCTTCCCATCAGATCAAAAGGTGTCATGTTGCTGCAAGGGGGACATCTAGGTACTAGATATATGGTGATTCTGGGACCCTTTCAATTAGACACCCACTAACCTGGGGTTCCCCCCACCAAGATCCAATGACCACCATTTCAATAGGTTTGGGGTGGCCATTCTGCTTCCTCTGATGTGCAGATATCTTGCAGTAATTCAATACTCCAAGCTATAATGGCAGCAAGCAAATTAAGAGCCCAGAATCCTTCAAGCCTGGCAGCTGGCAGAACCAAATAGGTGGAGGGATGCGTGCTGCCTCCTCTGCACACCTTGTCAGCTGCCTTCTTTCAAGCCTCCCTGATCCTGCTTCTCAACAGCCTCCGCACAGTCACGTGACAACAGCATCCTCACCCATAGCAATCAGAGTGCTCTTCTGGGCTTTCAGCATTCAGTTTGTAATGTTTGGAAAGCTTGAATAGTGTTCCAGTCAGAGTCTGTTTTCCGGTTGGGCCATTTAACCAGTTGCCGTTTGCGATGTGTTGCATGTGCAGTATGATTCCCGCTCATGGCAACCCTGTGTTAGAATAGAACTGTGCTCCATCAGGTTTTCAATGGCTGATATTCAGAAGTAAATCACCGAGCCTTTCTTCCAAGGCACCCAATAGCTCTGTGTTGATTTGAACCTCTGGTTTTTTTATTTAGCAGCGGAATGCAGTAGCCATTTGCGCCATCCAGAGATTACCTTGCACATGCAGGCACCTCTCATGTCAGGAAAGTACTTGTGTGTGCTTGTGCACAACATGCACACATGCACAAATTTCCCTCTCTGTGCACCCATACCTGTCCCTGTTGCTTCTTGAGTCCGAAGGGGAGGTGAAATAGGTCTGTCTTCCGCATGCCCATGCAGAGTGAGCCCCATTTGTAAGGTAGCATGTGCTACTGCTCACTCATGAAGCTAGAGGTCTCTGAGTATGTGTGTTTCTTGACTTCAGAACCATGACCACACCTGCATTGCCTGCCGAATCATCTACCGCTCGGATGAACACCATCCCCCAATCTTGCCCCCGAAGGCAGACTTGACCATCGGCCTACACGGGGAGTGGGTGAGCCAGCGCTGCGAGGTGCGCCCTGAAGTCCTCTTCCTCACCCGCCATTTCATCTTCCATGACAACAACAACACTTGGGAGGGCCACTACTACCACTACTCTGACCCGATCTGCAAGCACCCGACCTTCACCATCTACGCCAAGGGTCGGTACAGCAGAGGCATGCACTCCGCCCGTGTCATGGGAGGCACCGAGTTTGTATTCAAAGGTGAGTCTGGCTTTGAATCCCATGTGGAAAAACTTCGGGGCCCAGGGATATTTGAGCTGTTGGCGGCGTTTGCTTAGAAGCTGAGCATGCTTCTTGCTCGAAATCTACTTGTGGCATTTCAGAGTCCCTCCTATGTTCACGCCACATGATCAAATGTTAGCGTGCTTGCCTGAGTGATGTAGGAGCTACTGTTGGTGTCTGTGAGGTGTATGCTTCTGTGGGAAGGGTTATGTTACAACACGTTTGTCTAAGTCAGTGGTTTTCAACCTTCCTAATGCCGCAAAGCTTTAAGACAGTTCCTCAGGTTGTGATGACGCCCCAACCATAAAATTATTTTCGTTGCTACTTCGTAACTGTCATTTTGTGACTATTATGAATCGGGTGACCCCTGTGAAAGGGCCGGGTGACCCCCAAAGGGGTCACGACCCACAGGTTGAGAACCGCTGGTCTAAGTCATGTAGCTAAGAAATGAGATAAACCAGGTTACGACCAACAATGAGGGCTCACTATTGGCTACCAAGGTGACCCCACTCAAAGGAACCCATGTGTGTAGAATAGATAAGGCTCCATACGGTTTTCAGTGGTTGTGACCTTTTGCTAGCACATCACCAGGCCTTTCTTCCAAGCTGCTTCTGGGTAAGGTTGAACCTCCAACCTCTCAGTCTGTGGTTGAGGGCTTAACCATTTGCACCACCCAATAACGTCACAGAGAAGTCTACTGGCTTTATTTCTAAAATTTTTTTTTCCCCCCACAGCCTGTCCATCTTCATAAAAAAATCAGTCATGCCCTGGCCACCTGAAGAGAGACAGCATAGATCCTGGGCGTCACCCCCACCAGCGTATAGCTCCGGTTCAGTCAGTTTAATATGAAGTATTTCTGTTAACCCAGTCACTTCTAAGGCACCTTGGCCCCCCACAAAAGAGGAAGGCTTGCTTCTGGAAAACGAGACATTTGACTGACTCAGCCAAAGAGACTGGAAAAATCTCTGCCGATGCCACATTCATAAGATCCGTTCTACATGCATCTTTGGTTAGACGTCAAGTGTGGTTCTCGGGAAGGACCTTCAGAAGCACTGCTACACAGACTAGGATTTCTGTTTAGTACTATGTGTTGGTTTGTTTTCCATATTGCTCTTGCTTACAGACTTAATTTCTTTACACGCCAGATTGAGTGGTCTAGTTAGCTAGAATGCTAACTGTGGGTGCTAGAGAACCATAACTAACTATAGGTGTCAGTGTTTAACAGCAAAACCTGAAACGGAAGGATTCCAAAACCTTCCGTCGTAGAAATAAAATCCCAGTTTCCACTGACGGTTTTGTCAAGCCCAGAGAACTGGGGTTGCCAACTGCAACTGCCTGAGAACACTTTGTGCCTGGGTTTTATTTCACGTGAACAGACATGATCTAGCAACTGCAGTCTGGCCTCAGCACTGGCACACTGAGGCCTTGGTTTTTGTTTGTTTGTTTTTCCGGTCACAATGGCAGTGTATTTGGTGTGACTGTCCTCCAGACAGACACACTGGACGCTTTCTACGTTGGTTTGCTCTTAGGATCTCTGTGCTTAGGGTGGCGTGGTGTGCAGGGTGGGTTGAAAGCGTAAGGCTGTCTAAGCCTGGTGCTGCCTGTGGATGCTTGGCAGCAGGCGACTGTGATTACACACTCGAAGTTGACGACCCTCTCCTTTCTCCCTCCAGTGAACCACATGAAAGTCACGCCCATGGACGCGGCCACAGCCTCCCTTCTCAACGTCTTCAGTGGGAATGAGTGTGGGGCTGAGGGCTCCTGGCAGGTGGGCATCCAGCAGGATGTGACACACACTAATGGCTGTGTGGCCCTGGGCATCCAGCTGCCTCACACGGAGTATGAACTCTTCAAGATGGAACAGGATGCCCAGGGCAGGTACCTCTTATTCAATGGCCAGAGGCCCAGTGATGGGTCTAGCCCCGACAGGCCAGAGAAGAGAGCCACGTCTTACCAGATGCCCCTGGTTCAGTGTGCGTCTTCTGCCCCCAGGGCTGAGGACATGATGGATGAGCACAGAGCCCGCCAGTACGGAAGTGGAGCTGCCTCCCAACGCAGAAGCTTCCTCACCTTCCTAAGTGTGTTCTTCTGCCTTTGGACTATACCAAATTGGACCATCCTCAGATAGAACTTGCTGAAAAGTTGTGTTTCTCCACACAGTGTACAGATTCTCCTTATAGAAAGAAAGGACATGTGTTCCTTGGAGGCACTTAAGGACCTGAGAATTGTCACTCTCCTCCCCTCTCTGCCCTCCTTCCCAGCCCTGAGCTACGAGCAGTGCTTGTTGGAAGTTTGCTTTGAGCTCCATCCAGTCTGACCCGTGGCTGGAGTCACTCCACAATAGTAATCGCACTTTAAAACTGCAGAGTGTTTGGCCAGTGTGTGTGGTTGCGCCTTGAGGGGGAGAAGGCCTCGTATCTTTTCCTCTTAATGATTGTTATATTTCTGAGTTGAGCTTAGAAGAAACAAAGATCAAACTATAACATTTTATTCCCTTTTAACTGAGGGTGTTTTCTGCCTTTTCTTTAAAACTCTCTTGCTCTCTTGGGTTTTGCAGCCTAGGATCCTGTGCCTTGTTCACTTAGGACTGTGATCAAGACACCTTTTGATAAAGAAGAGTCTTGAGGGTGGACATGTAAATATGAAAAGACACAGGTTTATATAAACCATCTTTACAGCCTTTATGCCCAATTGGAAAGGATTGAAATTTTTGTGTCAGAAATGTTCAGTGAAAAACTATCTGTAATTAAAGTTTTAAAGTAATTTAAACTATTTTTACATGAGTCGTTTTCACTTACTAAGAATAGAGATGCATGTCTTTTGTTTGATGTCGATTTCTGGAAGCTTACAGAATTTGTGTTTCTTCAAGATGCTCTCAGTAGACATGGTTAGTAGAGAAAAGATAACACACAAGCCTGCCACCAATCAGACAAAGCTGTGTGAGTAATGACATGTTCACTCCACCGCTTCCAATCCTGGGAACCCTCATCCTGGGAACCCTCATCCTGGCTCACATTGCGTGTGGCTAGGGCTCAGCAGAAGGAGCTTAATTTCTGGCATCTCTGCTGTCCCCAGAAATAAACCCAGAGAGGTGAGGTTCGATGTTAAGTAGCTGGCTGTTACTGAAGTTACAGACCTGACTGTTCAGAGGCGGTGCAGTGGGAACCATCTAGCAAACCTGCATAGACTGTGGGACTGAGACTTTGGGTCAAGTCCTCTTACTGCTAACCAGCACAGCTTGAGTAGATCTCTTCACCCCCCACCAGCTCCTGCCCTCCAGGGCTTTGATTCTTTCTCACAGGGACTGGGGGTGGGGCCTATGATTCCATGTCTGTCCATAAGGTTGTTCTGTCTTCAATGGTGCTACACAAACACCGTGCATTGCTAGTGATAAACCAGGGAGGACCATGGTGGAGGAAAGCAGTGAGCCAGCCCGAGACACCAAGGGTGAACCTGGAGAACGCAGTCCAGGCCGTTAGCCCAGCATGCGTTTGAAAACCAACTTTCTGCAATGCTGTCACAATACAAGTGATGTTATGCGGAGCCGGGTGGTATAGTGTACTGAAGCGTTTTATGTTCGAATATATTTTAAGTTGTGGTTTATTCAAGATGAAAGCACAAAGTATCTACCAAATGTAATAAACCAACATGTCAAAAATACTCTCACTAAATAGATTTTACCCATGGAGCTACTTAACGCATGCAAAGGCTGTCTTTAAAGACAGAATAAAGTCATCTGATAAGCAACACTCACCGTTAAAGAATACCCCAGTGTTTACCACAGGAGTGATAGATTACGTTTCCACTGGATTCACAGCCACTCACCTAGACGAAGCTATATGCAATTTTCATAATTACACTATGCACACACAGAGATATTAACATGTGTATAATGCGTGTGCATTTATATTTATTTTAAAGATAACATGAAATTCATGTGGGCATATCATTTAAAGAAACATATAGGAGGGTATGTCAACCAGAACTCGTATATGTTTCCGGTTCATACATGCATAGGTTGGTTCCAAATAAGACATGTTTAGAAATAGCTCTGTGGTCAGGGGATGGCTGCGAACAGGTTTTCTCAGTGAATGTACTTGTCCTAGTCTTGTCGGGTACCTTCAAAAAACAGTGCCATGAGCACATGGGATTCAGACGGGATTTGCTGGACCTCTTAATTCAAAGCAGGGAGGCTTTGGGGACCTTTTTTTTTTTTTAGAATGACAAAGGGGTAATCTTGAGATAGTTTTCCAGTGAAAAAATATCTAAAGATTATGACTCTGGATGATCATAGGGCCTTCTTGGAAGCTGGTTTAAGAAAACTAGAAACTGAATTCTTGAGAAAAAGGCAAAGGAATACACATGGGGATTTTTTACCCCCATCATGGCAATGCATCTACTTATTTTGCAGAAGTAGCAAGAGCTGACCTACAAGAATTTCATTGACCTTACCTCATGCACCCTATCTCCCTGAACTGGTCCCTTGAGACTCCCCCCTCCCAAAAAAAAAAATTCAAAGAATACTTTAAAGTGACATGTGTTGGGTCCCTTGAGACTGCCCAAACTGCAGTGCTGTCACGATGTCAAACAAAGGGCCCAGCATTCTTTGGGAAAGGATGTGAGAGGAGGAAACATGGCCTTCAGAAGGGTCCAGGGACACGCAGGGACAACTGAGGATGACTCAAGACCAAATCCTTCCATGCTGCTATACACAGGCCTACTATGAGCCAGAACAGACCCAATAGCGCCTAACAGCACTGTCCTCAGTTCATAGCCCCGCAGTTGTTCTTATGTGCCATCAAGTGCACTCCAACCGTAGTACAACGGGATACAGTGCTGCCTGAAAGTTGAGGCTGTCTGCTCCCATGAACATTTACAGCCTGGGAAATCCTATATAAGGTCACTGTGAGTCACAGTAGACTCAGTGAGTGTTGTTGCTTTTATTGGGGGGATTTTGGTTTTGGGTGGGTTTTTTTTTTTTGTCCTTTTTAAGGAGCTTAGTGCCAGCTATGAGCAAGTGCTGGGCCAACCATGGATATATCACTGTTCCTGAAATGGCACATAGGTAAAGGACGATTTCCGAAGACCCCATTGTGGCAGAGACTACTGAGTTACTCTAGTCCTTCCTTCATGATTCCCCTTTGGGCTCAGGTTTGGGTTTCCTCTTCTCTCTCACACATTAGAACAAATAAACCTAGATCTGAATCCTTTTTTCAGTTGAGGGCTTAGTACATCTAAGCCATCTGATCCAATTTGGTGCCAGCCTTCCGGCACAGGTGCTTCCTTCTGTAAGCAGTAAGAGTTCCTCAGCTAACCAACCTCTGGCATGTGCCCTCCTACACGGTCACTCCTCATACCTTACCGATGACTGTAGAAACTAGGCAAAGGGGTTCCTGGGCAGGAGGGATGGACAAAAAGGGCGAGGAGCGATTTGAACAAGCAGCTGAATTACTCAGGTTTTGTAGGGGCATGTTAGATTAAAAAAAATATGTTTCATGTTTGTTATTTGGCTTTTCTGCTCATTCTAGTGGGGTATAAAACCAAACACCCCAAATTCACTGTCAGCAAATCAATTCCAATTCACAGCAACTCTGTAGGTCAGGGTGGAACTGCCCATGAGTTTCGGAGACTAACTCTATAGGCATAGCCAGCCCTGACTTTCTCCAGCCGGTGGTTTTGAACTGCTGACCTTGCAGATAGTTAGCAGCCTAATGCATAACCACTGTGCCACCAGGGTTCCCTAGCAAGGGCTTTAGCTGGTGATTTGATTTGTATCAGATTTCATCTTTTTATCCAAAAGCAGCTTTCCGTTTGTCTCCATTGTGAGTTACGCCAGTGGTGTCCCTGCAATGGGTGGTGTCGCCCATGAGTGCTGTCACCTCCCAAACAGGACAATGCAGATTCCTCAGTCATATTTACTGTCAATCTTCATCACAGAATAATCTATGATGTGGTTGTAAATCGTTGAAATGTAGTATTTACCTATGATTACTAACAACATTGCCTTATAAAGTCTTTCTTTCTACATTGAGGTATAACATTATTATAACCAAAACAAAAACTGAACAAGAAGTCTTGTGACATTTTTCTCCATCTTTTCCTTTAATTACTGCTTCACTCTCAATATGATTTTTGACATAGGTTCACAAAGACTATTGATCATGACAATGTAACTGAAAAAAATTTTTTTTACAAAGTCACAGTTTGTAAACACTGGCAGCAAAGAAACAACAGTGCATGCTTATAGCCCATGCAGAAGAAACCATGTAGTTAGAAGCATCGTTGCAATGTATAGCAGTGGTGGCATTAACCTCAAAATCACTGCCAGGGTGTGCATACTTGTATATAGTGGCCCTACCAGGCAAAGAGCTGCCTCTGTGAGTTACTGAAGCTGTAAATCTTTTTTTTCCACATTAATATAGATTATTATTTGGGATTTAAGGTCCATATCCTATCATTCCAAATTTCAATCTTGTCAAGTAGAATATACAATTTCTACCACAGTTTCCAAGCATTCTTTTTGTACATGGACTCCTTGACATTGTCTCCCTTTATCCCACCTTCACCACTGTCCCCACCTCCCCCTGAACCCCTTTATCTACCGGCTGCCCCTCCAGGTTCAGCGATCATAGGTTTCGTAGACCAAGAAACAGAAAAGCATATAGCACAGCTTCCAGAGGGTGACCTCCATTGACATAGCACCTCTCGGATACTCTCTAACGTGAGCAAAGGAAAACTGAAGAAAACAACACAAACCAAAAGTAAGGAAACTTTGGAAACCAGGTCAGGTCCAGTCTGCATCCTAGGGGGGATCTGCTGACAAAGTTTTAACTGTTCAGGTCAGATTTCTGCCTTTTATTTTCTATTCTCCTCTCACCCAAGCACTCTGTTGAGGATCAGTTTGATCCTAGCCCTCAATTTTAGATAGGAGGAGTTCTCTGGAGGCTTATGACTAGGGAGTTCCACAATCGAATCTTAATTTGCACTGTCATCCATCACCTTCCGCACACCGGATTCTCACAGTGTAGGCTCTGATATCGATCCCTCCTTTGACTTCAGGTAATATGGATTCCAATCCTTCAATCACTGATGATGGCGTGCTTCTTCCAGGTGGACTTAGTGGACATCTCACTTAGATGGCTGCTTGTTTGGAGACAAGCCTTCAGACCCCAGGCGCTATTTTATCTGATAGCCGGACACCATCTATAGTCCTCGCCACATCTTGCTGTAGCACTCTTATCTTCCTGAAGGCAAGTATTGAGCAGGGCCATAATGTAAGAGCTAATTGTTCTTAAGTTGGAGCTAGGATTTAGTGTGAGCCCAAACCCATTCCTGGATCTATGGTGTTTTGTTTGTTTGTATTAATCTATTATTACTCGGGAGTTAATACATCTGCCGTATCATTCCATAGTTCAATCACGTCAAACAGAATGGCACAATTGCTTCCATAATCAGTCTCCAAGCATTCTTTTCCTTCCTAGACTTCTTGACATCTCTCTCTTAGTTCTATACTCCCCTCTATATTCCCCCTTCCCCTGAAGCCCTTGTTTTTATTTGCTTTCCCTATAGACGCAATAAATGTTCCTGGGTTTCATTTACTGAAAAATAGAGAAACAAATAACACAGTGAAGCTGTAAATCTTTATGGGAACAAAAAGCTTCACCTTGAAGCTTGAGGTTTTGAACTGGTGACCTTGTGGGTAGCAGCACAGTGTGTAACCTACAACACCACCAGACTCCCATAGTATTTCAGTAATGTCTATGACTTGTTAT